ATTCCAAGGTGAAGTTGAAGAACAAAGAGGCAATAGGATCTCTTTGCAAGAACCAGTAGTATTTTTGATCTCTGGACAGAAAATGCTTGTCTTGTAACATATTACAAGGTGAAGTTGAACAACAAAGGGGCAATAGGATCTCCTTGGCTAAGTCCAGTGTCAATAAGAAATTCTTATGATGTGGTGTTACCAATTCTGATTAGTGCGGATGGATTTTTCATAAATTTTCCGCTTACAAAATAATACAGTTGCTTAAAATCTATAGAAAAAGAGTTAATGTACGTCGCGGTTGTATTCCCAGACCTCTTCCAAAATCTGACGAAGGTGTGGTCTATAGTAGTTGATTCCAGGTCTAAAGCCACATTGGTAATTGTCTCGCTTCTGCGTATGAAATTACTACATGTGTTAATCTTTGTTTGTGTGGATGGGTATTATATGGCTTATATGCCACTGTTTCTGCATTTCCTCTCTTTGCCAGACTTCGTTTGTGAGACGATATATTTTCAGATTAAGTTTTCTCCCTCTTTTCGAAGTAGTTCCTTCTAAATGCGGTCTGGACAAGGAACTTTTTGATTTTTGTGTGAAGGTTAAGAAAAATTGTCTGAAACAAATTACTAGCTGGCAAAATATTGTTGTCACATATCACTGATTGCCTGTGTGTTAGATAAATTCGAGAAGCCGTCCGTCCGAAATTCCAATAAAAAGGTCTTCTCTTCTTCACGTGCCATTTCCTTTCAGATCTTAAAGCTTTCTTGATACCATAAAGTAAGACTGAGAAGATATAGCAGCGAAGTAAGCGGATACGCAATGCCAATTTGAGGTCTCTGTTACATAATGTCTTGGACATTATTCTAAAAGCGCACTGGCCTGCTCAATTCTGGATCTAATTTCTCCGTGACTCTGCGTTACAATTGAACTGATATCCAAGGTAATCAATTTGGTCAAGTTACTCAAGTTTGGTACTATTTACATATATAGACGGCTTTAGATTTTGGTTTTCCGTATGTTAAAATCCAGACCTGCTTCCTTACAGCTCTCAGTGACACTTTCAAGTAATGTTTGCAGATCTTATTGAGTAGAAGTTAGGAGTGCTGTGTGTCGTCCTCATATCGCAAATTATTGATGACTTCACCGTTCACAATTATTCGTTCTTGTTTTTCAGAAAGTGCATTTCTGAAAATTCTTTCGGATTAAACGTTAAGGGGCGACAAGAGGCATCCCTGCCGTACTCCTCTTTTAATATTAAGAGCCTGTTATTTCTAACCGTCTACTAAAACTGATATTGTTTGATTGCAATATAAATTCGCAATTCTGCTAACGTCTCTGCCATCCAAGCTAATGTCTCGTAGAACTTCGATCAATATAGAGTGGTTATCAAATGCCTTTTGGAAGCCAATAAAACATTATATGTCTACAGATATATCACGACATCTTTGAGCAAGTACGTTCATCCCAAACCCTTTACGGAAACCAAACTATGTGTCACTCAGATATTATTCGCATTTATTAGAGATACGAGCATGTATTACCTTTAGAAAAATTTTCAATGAATGACTTAACAAACTAATGGTTCTATAATCAGCACAGGTTTTGACTGTTGTCTTCTTAGGTAGAGCTATAATAAAAAGGTGGACCGAGAATTTCCGATTTCCCAGAGGATTCGACCGTTAGTTAAACCTCGGTTTGCTTCACTTAATCTTTGAACTCACAAAACGACCTAACAATATTAACAGTTTTACAGTACAAGTAAGGAAGCAAACAGAGGTAACTTGGTGCGTAAGTTAGTGTTTAGGCAGTGTCTGCAGTCGACTTGGATTTGTTTCTCATGTATTTGTAAAGCACACTCCAAACTTACCCATTTCTTTCCCTTTCAAAGGTAAACTCTTATAATAGCTGATTAGAAATGAGTAACTTTATCAGTCAATCGGAATTTTTAAACACACTGGTCACACAGTTAAAAAAATTCACGATAACAATATGCACATCCAATTGCTCTTCTTTTCTATTTTTTTGCGTAAAAATGGAGTAAAAGATCTAACTCTTTAACTAACTACCAAATATAGTTTAATTTTTCGCGCCATAGGTGGCGTTTATTTGAAACTATATTCTAAGTTTTCATACAGCTTGATTATTGATTAGTTTATTTGTGGACATTTTAGATCTTTATGGCCTGTATCACAGCCACCTTTACTTCCAAGCCATGAAGTAAAAAAGGCAACACCGCATTCTATGACGTCGGTAGTCCGATAATCAGCTGTAAGGTCTACCAGAATATTAAACTAATTTGAATTTTAGGAAACTGATATTTTGAAAACTTCAATTCATTACAGAAATATTTTTAGGGAAATTAAATTAATAAAACCTTATATATACCTAGTAAATATATATAAAGTTTTATTATTATTTAGGTTATATTTTCAATAAAATAATCACTGGAGTAAAATTTATTGCACTTAAAATACAGTGTCAAACAGTTAATTTTACAATCAAATACAGTCAAGAATCTCTAGAAATTTTAAAACACAAAAACTTAGTGTAACTATTATGATTAAAAAATTCATCCTAAGAAATCAGACACAATATAAATATGGTTCTAAATTAATCTAAGTAATTGAAAATTAAATATTTTACTATTTACTTATAACTTTTGTTGAATTTTCATACTTAGATATACAAAAGTAGCAATTTTAAATATGAATAGGTTTGTTGTCATATAGACCAAGTTAAAAGAGGTATACATGAAAAATGTGTTGAATGTAACATACCATTTATAACTTGTATATGGATTTAAAATAGCCCATATTCTCAAAAGATTTTTGAATGTAATACTCAAATTTGTTATCACTTATCTAAAAAGCAGATCTAAATGAGAAAGTAAGTTCTCTAATTGTGACCATGTTGTTAATTTACTGTATTGTAAAATCCATTTCAAATCATTACCACTTAATCTATTCTTACCTACATTGACGATTACACTAAAATTACTGCTAACTATTACACTACATATTACACAAATATTATCACACTTGTGTCCCGACTGATTAATGTTTAATACATATAAATATACACAGTCACTTGTAATTTTACTTGTCCAGTTTTTCAATGGGATATTATTGTCTAAGTCTAATTGACATAATTATGTTATCTCTTGTTCCCTCTTCTTATGCAAAAAGTTTCTTCTGTCTTCGGGATTCCTTCTTTCTTTAGTACGATGAACAGTTACATATGATGGTACTTCAGGAAATATATTAGGAACTGCATTGCCTTTTAATTTGGGAAATATTAACTTTTCAATGTGTACATTTCCATCTTTATCTTCTCATTGTTTAGTCCGCTGAATATCATCTTCATGAAAATGTTTGGCACATACTACGGAAGATTTGGTAATTGTACAGCCTTCTCTATGAATACAGCATAACCCAGTATACTTTCTTTGGGGATCTTTGGGAAACAAAAACGTACTTTCTGCCTGTTTCGTTTTTAAAGTACTGGAATAATTGATTTTGCAACCAGGTACACAACAATGCCAGAGCATCTGTAACAAAAAACAAAAGTATTATTATTGTTGTTTTTAGTTTACATATTTTGTAACAAGAAGCAAAAGTATTATTATTTTCAGTTTGTTTTGTAGGTTATATTTTTATACTTGCCTTTTAAATTGTCGTTAACAATCTTCTAAAAGTTATAAATTTAATGAAATTTCACTTATATTAATATTTTCTAATTGATGTAAACACAATTTACAAATAAAACATTCGAATAAAGTTAAAAAAACAATAAATTCAACAAACTTTACAAGCCTTCCTATATGAAATGTTAAACCAAAACAAACCACAGTCGGACTACCACGCGTTGTTGCCAAATTTCTACTTCATGGCTTGGAAGTAAAGGTGGCTGTGCCTGTATGCGAATTCTTAATAGTTAGGATATATATAGCACACTAGTTAGTCGTAACAGAAATATATAATATACAAACTAAGAGTTTATATAATTTATATTTTGGGAATTGTGCAATATGACGAAGTGGCTAGATTTACAGGCAAAGATTCAATGAAAATGATGATGATGAAATGATGATAATGAAAACCGATTCATCAGAAATTTTTGTTAATGGTACATTGATTTGTTTTGGACAAAATAAGGTATCTATAAAAGTATTTTAAAAAAATCTTTATATTAAGTTTAGTAACAAAAATACTCAACCCGCCTTTTATTTTTAGTACTAATTTTTTTTATTTAAAATAACGATGCTGCTATTGGAAAACAAAGATGTAAATTATATTTATTTTTTTATCGATATACGTATTTTTTTTTGCTTCGCCGCTTTTACACTTTATTTAAATTTATCTTTTAGGTCATTTAACGCGAAAGTATTGTTAAGTGAATTTTCGTAAACATCGATTGTTCTGTCAATAATTTTGATAATGAGTATTTTATCAATGTGAGAAGCGTCGAATTAAGTGTCCGATGTATCCGTGTAAGTGACGCTTGATGTTTCATTTTTAATTTTTTTGGAGCAGGTCGTAGGTCCAAAGTTGAATATTATAAAAAATAATCTCATACTGGTATATTAAAAATCTTACATTTTTTTTGTATAAAACTAAGGAAAATAAACATTTTTCTTTGATATTGTTACACTTCTTTATTATCACTTTTATAGAAATCAACAAAGTATATTATAATACTTGTTAATAACTCTAACTCAGTGACAGAACTGTTCAAACACTTAATTACTACTACTTGAACTGTCAACTCCCTGTTTATATATATTTTCTAACGTTCCAAACCTGATGAGATATTTCGATAACATGTAGAATATTCTAGATTTTTAATACTTTTTAATACCCCCCTTTATTTCGTTATAAATCGCCGTTTGCAGTCGAGCCCCCCCCTTCGTGTCGGCGCCGCAACTAAAACTCGTGGTCCATCTTTTCAGTGATTTTTTAACAAATTCAATGTTATTTCTGGGTTCTTAACATTAAATATAAAACTGTATTTACGAATGGATCATAAGAGCTAGTACACAATTATATTTATAGAGATAATAGCGACACAAAATAGTGAAAGACACTAAACGACGTCGGATGTACACTCATGCCCCCCTTTCTACTCCTTTCTGTTGTATAGCATCGCAATAAGCAAAGTCTTCCCCCTCTCTTCTCTACAACCTCCCTCCCTCTAGTTTATGGATGTTCCCTAACGCTGCCCCTTTCTTAAGAGTTATTCGCCTCGACTAACTCTATCAGGGACTGACTGAACCCAACACCTTGGTTTACTTCTAACCGAACACTGGATGTGATAGATTAGATTGTGTATTTTCTGCAGGACGGTGTACGGAACCTTCCAGTTTCGTTGAAGATTCGGACGAAGTCCTTTCTTACGTTTGGGATTATATAGCCATACTGGTTCACCTCTTTTGAAAGTTGTCCCGGTAGCATGCATGTCAATTCTGGCCTTGGATTTATCACTTGAAAGCGTCAAACCTTTAGGAACAAATTCGTGAACTTTTTTTCCAATTTTTCTTTCAAATTTTCGATGTACATCAGGGATGAACGTTCTTCGCAGGGAGGCAATCTTCCAAAAATAAGATCTTGTGGAAGCTTCATTCACTCTTCCGGTGATCATCATCAATGGAGCATAACCGATCGCTTCAAATTAGGAACTTCTAGAGGATAGGAGGAAGAAAGGAATTGAAGTATCTCAATCTTTTTAATTATCAGTGACGAACATTGAAAGGTATTGACAAACAGTTCTATTATCTCTTGATAATTCAGTCTGATTGCAGATGGAGAGGCGTAGTGCGAGTCATTAATTCTTGGCAGAATTCTGATTCAAAATTTCGTCATTGATCAGAATGTAACTGGAAAAGAACTCAATGTTCCTTGATTAGGAAGGGGTGCAATTTCAGGCCATTTTGAAAAATAATCCATTGCGACCATGTACTTATTTCCTGTCTCTGTCATCGGAAGTGGATTGAGAATATCCACTGCAACTCATTCAAAAGGCTTTCCGGAAAGATATTGTGCCATTTTACCACAACTTCTTGTTCTAGGACCTTTTCTACCGTTACATAAATCACATTTCTTACACCAATCTTCTACATCTCACCGACCGTTGATCCAGTACAATTTGCTACACGTGCTAAATCAGAACTTTCTCATGTCCGATATCATAGACCATTGGAAAGATACAGAAATTCCCATGCGTAATAGATTTTACTCCATTTTTAAGCCTATCTCGCATGACTTTTAAGTCAATATCTTTCTTTTAACTCTTTTTGAGGCTTTCCAGAGAAGTCTGATCATTATCTTCTTCCAGTTTAACTGTGGTCATCTGGAGACTTATTTCTTCTGTTACGTTCTCTTTTTATTTAAGTTGACATTACCTTTGAACCTATAATTCGTTCAAAGCATCTTGGAATTTTTGTAATTGTTCATTTAACACATTCTTCTCCTTCGCCAATTTCTCGGATCTGTATTCCAGATAGGAGTGTGTAGTTTTTGCATTATTTCGAGTTACCTTTACAAGCCTTTTGCAAAATTGGCACTTAACTTTTCTATTTTATTTTTAATAATCGCTAGTTGCTCCTTCAAATGAGCAACTTCAGATTCCAGAGTATCTTATTCCTTTTTGTGGAACTGTGGTAACAATATATATCTCAGCGAGGAGTTTTAAACCAGGTATTATATATTTTCTCATATACGTATCTCCGTTTATTAAAAAAAAACTAATAGGAAATTACAACAGTTCTTAAGAATTCTATAAAATATTAGATTTAGCACAGCATCTAAAAGATTGGAAGCAGTTTAAGAGTGCCAACAAAGTTGTTTTGTTAACATAAAAGGCATAAAACATAAAGTATGCAATTAACCAAGGATAAACCAATAAAAATTGAGAGGTGTCAGAACTGCTGACCTTACATCATCTAAGCTTCAAAAGTGTTTATGAAAACTCATTAAAAAATAGTTGTTCAAGTTTGTTGTGGACTGTTCAATAAGTTTTGTCGTTTGACAAAATCTTTCTGAAATGTGTCAAAATACGCTGTAAGGCTACCATTACCTCTTTGTTAAATGAAAATCGTTTCTGACGCAGACATGTTTTATGGCGTGTGAACCACCAGAACTAATAGCGATAGGTTAACAATAATTGGTACTTCAACCGCGTTGTTTTGATGAAAAATGAGGTTTTTTTTTGTGCAATTCAGGGTTTTTTCACAAATTTTTTCATCCAGCTGGTCCAAAATGATATAATGAGAATTTGAGTTTATTGTTTTACTTGTTTGAAGGTAATCCACAAGCAAAATTACTTACGAATATCCCAAAACTGCATCCAATACTTTCTTATCAGATTGTTTGTCTGTGATTCGTAGTGGAGCCGACTTACCGGGTTCACACCAAAAAGTCTTACAAACCCGGTACTTAAAAGAGACAACTGTATTGGTTTAAGATCTGGTAGATGATCTAGACCGGGGAAACGCTAAGGAGAATTCCTTTTATTTTATATCTCATTAATGGTTTTCATGGCTACATTATCCATCTTCAATTGAAAACCTTTCATAATCCTTTTTGTTTTTATCTTTAGGCGGAGCAGGCTTCGCTAATTACATGTCTTCATAAGTTTCTGTCTAAGATCATACTAATATCAATTCTCTTTACCAATATGTCCTGCCTAAGCAGCCCTCCCCAGGTCTTCCTCTTCTGCTCTTTCCAGGAACTTGCAAATCAGCCATTCTTTGTATGCTCTCCCATTTGCCACCCCTAGACTTTCTCTATTAAATTCATCCTTGATTTTATCCTTTTTTGCTACTCTTCCTTCTTTCTCATCTTTCAACATCTACCACTTGATTTTTTGTGGTACCACCACTCTGATATATTGGTTCAATTTCGCTGTTACTTCGATGTCCTGCACAAGCTTCATATGTTGTTGGCTCACAGTCTCACTAACTATTTCACATACATCGTTTTGTCACGAAATAATCTATTTGGAAGCGATTCTCTCCACTTTTTTTGGTGATAAGTCGACTTTCGCCATCTGTAATGCTGATACTATTTCTGTTTGTGTTCTCCCATCTAACGTCTTCGTAAATAAAAATATTGTTGCTTCCCAAATTCTCAAGTCTCAAATGACTAACTCATCTATAACATATCAATGTTACTTCATTTTATGGGAATTTAATTTCAAATTTAAAAAATATCGCAATTTAAAATATCTAGTAATTTATCACATTTTCAACGTTTCCTTGCCTTGTATTAAAAAACTCTACAAGAAATACTCTTCACGTCTTTGTAAATCAAAATATTTCAAAAACCAAAAATTTAAGTCTCGAATAGCTACTTATCTGTAGAATCTCACTTTTGTTTTACTTTATGGACACTAAATTAAAAAATATCTTGTCATTTGTTACCTATCATTTGCCACATGTCACTTGTCATTGCTATTTGTCACTTCATGTTTAATACTTGTTATTTGACAAATGACAAATATTAAATACTGCGAGTAAATGTTGGATGTTTGATTCCAGCGTAAATTTTTGTATTTGTATAATAATTACCACATGCTGTAATGACATTATTTTCCTATTTTAAACAAGTAAATCATACGATAACATTGTACTTGAACCTTTCGACCTACGATCTAGAAGGAAAATTTGCTGGCACTGGAGTATGGAGTTGTATTGTTAATGAAGGCGTTTTGAAATTTTCAAACAAATCAAAATATTTTATTACAATACAGATACAAATATAATGCGCAACACTTTTGTCAAAATATGAATCTGCAAATTTACAAATCTCTTGCGAGCCTCCATTATCAAATGTTGTCCGTTTTGATATTGTAGAATACCTACACTGTGCCACCAAATACGAAATCCTCAGCGTAACCATAAAGTCTACAACACTCCAAATTTTTATTTGATTGTATCACATATCAAGCCAAATTTTAACGTTTAAGCACATAGTCGTGCTGCTAGTTATAGGAATTGATGTGCGAAACAATAAATTATTTTTATGATATAGATGTGATTGATTTTTGCATAATAATGTAAGTTCCTTGGACGAAAAATCTGTGAAAGGTATTTAACAAATGTCATAATTGATCAAAAATGATCAGTTAATAATGAGTTCAGGTTAAATGAGTTAATAGTTTGGAAGAAGGAGTTGATCGACTGCTTATAAGCTTTATGAAATGTAACCAATTGGTTATATATCACTTCTCTTAGTAGGTTCCTAATATATTAACTAGGGACCGTTTAAGTCTAATTTCACCTGAAAGTTATTTTATAATGCCCTATTATAATCAATAAAACGACTTTTAGGCAAAATTCGATAGCATTTTGTAGAAAAATTTTTGGTCGTCCTTGAAACTCTTCTCAGCTTCCACAATAATCTTTTCATTTGATCCAAAACTCCTTAAAATGATCAGATATGAAGAATATCCTGGGTACGGGAACAATTTGAAGTTTAATTAATGTACTTTTACCATCGTTGGGTTCGAGTAGTAACTGTGCATTTTATTACATTGTATTGTAATAATCGATGACAATATGTTGGATATGTTACTGTATTTGTGTTTGCCTCAGGATAATCACAGACTCACCCGTTGTTGCTTTCGATGACGTTCTCGCTCAATTTGTCTGAAAAGACATTTTGCTTCTCTGTAATATGCATTCCGACTCGAAGGACCATGAAATGAACTGTATAATTTATCAACAAGATACAAATGGCTTTATTTTATCAAAAAAAAAAAACGATTAACAAACCAAATATAATATACATCATAAAAATTATTAATTTCTCATGTCCTTTCTTTTTCTATTAAGGTCGTTCCCAATACTTGGCAGACTTCTTGTATAAGCTGAAATAAACGATCCATTAACAAAACAATTTTATTAAAATAATGACACCTGTATTAAAAAATTATTTTCTTTTTATTAATATCATTCAAAATTTAACCTGGAATCGGAATTTGCGTGATCAAGTTACATCTTTAACATCGCTTAAGGATTCTTACATAATTTGTTAAATGACTTCGTAGGTTATTGTGTAAAGGAACTTCAATTACATCGAGTTAAAAAGATCTGTGTCATGTACAAAATTATCTTTTGTTTCGAATTATGACTGTGGGACAAAATGTTATTTGTTTTATGTATGTCTTCATTTTTATTTAATAGTAATCAAATATAATGCACTCTTGTTATGTTTTATGGCATTAAAGAAAGAAAATAGGGTTAAAACTTGATTAAAAAAATATTTTAATGTATCAGGAAATTGTTTTTAAATAGTGGTTTTTTTATTCAATCCCACGTCTTACAATTATCTAACTTATTAGATGATTCGCGCTTTTTTTGTTGCTTTCTTTTGTCTATTAGCATTCTCTTTCAAAAAATGTGTTGCCATATTTCTTTCTTCACAAAGCAACGTTCTGGCTTTCATCCCTTTTCTTCTACTGCTCTTTTTATTTTATTTTATTTTGTCATGTTTTCTCATTTCTTCACCTGATTTATTCTATATGTATAGTAAGCACGCCATTAACTGAAATAATTTTCGGGCTGTCCAGCTATTCGCAGGGACACACATTCTAAACAAATCGTGTAAATATGACGTTGACGTCTACAACATATTCATAGATTTCAAACAGGGCCACGACTCAATTAATAGACACAATTTATTTCAAATATTGCATAGCTTTAACATTTCCCAAAAATATATCTGGCTAGTAAAAGTAACAATGAACTCGCCAACAATAACTATCAGAATATAGAACTGAGAACTTTTTTATAGTCAAAGTATTAAAGCGGGGAGACGAGCTGGTACCGACACTTCAACCTGTCTGTCGAATATGTGATCAGACCGTTGAATCTAGGGAGAGCCTAATCATCAGCATCACGTCTCGCAGAACTAGAGGGGGCAGAAATATATTCAAAATTAAAAATATGGGCAATAGAGACCGAATTAGAAATAATTTCTGGGCCGGACATTCTGCACAAGCGATTTGAGGGTATGGTCATCTCTTGTGCAGGGGGCCACCGAGATCGTGCGACTCCGTTAGACTGAACTTATACTTCGGTCAACCCCTTTGAGCCTGATTTATGCGCCATAGTCATTGAAAATTAGACATTACGGATGCACGTTACCCAGCGAAGCTGTGGTGAACATTTGATGTGATATTATATTCCATACATAATGGTATCAAGAGGACTTTTAAAATCTCACACACACTTCCTGTGCTAAAGGTTCTCCTGTAAAACTCTGATTGGATTAAGTGCTACCTATTTGAGGAAGATGTAGAGTCTGCGATCGGAATCGCCACTCTTCTTATTTCTTTTAAATTTTTATTTGTAGACTCAGACTTATTCTTTACTTGTCATATAGGATGTTCCTTATTAGTAATTGAGATGCGCCGTTTCGAGGATGACAACTTGCGTGAAGTATTAAAGCCGCTTACACATCTGAACATTTGCCCGAAATGAGCATGCGGTCTCGAGTCACGGGGAAGCATTCCTCCGGAAGTAGAGGGACAAACCTCGAGCACGGAATATAGTCTGTGTTATCAAATCATGGTGAACTGAAAGCTTCTAGTTGCCATTTTTCGTACATTTATATACAAGAAACAACACAAAAAGCAATGGTGGCAGAGGAAACTATACAGGGCATATACTCAAATATATATATATATATATATATATATATATATATATATATATATATATATATATATATACCGGGTGGTGAATCGTCAAACGGGCCATAGGAAACTCAATGAGAAATTTTAAATTGTTGAATTGCTGCTTCCCTAATTATTTTAGATCAAAAGTCATAAAAAACTATTTGTAGAGGACTAAAATCTGAATTAAAAACAAATGTTAAAACCGTTCTACGAATCAAATGTACTACAAAATTTTGAAAAAATGTGATACATTTTTCAGACCACCCCTAAAAGTTAGGCCACACGTAATGCAAGAATATG